GGTTTAGGGTTTAGGGTTTAGGGTGTAGGGTTTAGGGTTGTAGGATGTTGGGGGTTCAGGGTTTAGGGCTGCAATTAGGACTTTTGGGGTTCAGGGTTTCGGGTTGTAGGATTTTGGGGTTTAGGGTTGTAGGATTTTTGGGGGTTCAGGGATGTTCAGGGTTTAGGGTTGTAGGACATTGGGGGTTCATCATCGGAGCAGACAGGTTTTGCGGCTGCGGGTTAACAGGATTTCGGAGCTTACCTGGCCACAGTGAGGTGATTGAGTTAGTTCCCTTTATGCACTAAAGCCCTAAATCCTCACAAACGGATTTAAACTTGGAGAACGGCTGATCTTTGATGGTCACTCTTCCTGTCTTCTAAGAATCCTTGAAGGAATACCACTAATAATCAAACAGCAATTTTCTATTATAGACATCTATGGAAAATATAAAAACTCTATATCTTTTTCATATAAACCTGTGCTTCACTTCCTTCTCACATCCAGATAATGCATTGAAGCATGTGGATTACTTACTCATTTGCATATATAGTATCTGAATGGTATGTCTTATGCCTGTATGCTACGTAAGGGACGCTCTGGCTACCGACCGTGCGTGTTTTTGTGTTCGCCGGGTTGGCTGTGGATGGGGCGGGGGGCTATTGGTGTTAGCTTGGGATTTGCGAGTTAGGGTTTAGCAGTTATGTTTTGGGGCTTGGGGGCTTGGGATTTCAAATTCAGGGGGGGGAGGGTTTGGAGCTGTGTGTGGTGCCCACGCTGGGCGCCCAGGAACATCATCATCATCATCATCACCATCATCATCAGCATCATAGATTCTATGGCGAACACGACTGTAAAGTATACAGATGGAATTTCGTACACTATACACTACATGCGCAAGGGCTCGAGCATCGAGCATCAGAGTCTCTTCTCTTGAAACAGCACATGATGCCCCGACACGGACCTTCAAAGATCCCAACCCCCAAGCCCTGAACCTTCACACGCAGAACCATTAATGCCCCCCCCCCCCCCCCCCCCCCCCCAACAAAAAAACACGATGGTCAACCATGCAAGTCCGACACCCAGGCAAAAACACGAGGGCCGAGCTCCGTCGGGTCTAGGGAAGGCAAGCTGAGCCCCTCCGGGGGGGTTGCTTCTCCGGCTTGTCCATCTCTGAGCCAAGGTGAGCGCGGCGAATGCACATGAAAAGGGTTTAGGGTTAGGGTTTAGGGTTTAGGGTTTAGGGTTCAGGGTTCAGGGTTCAAGGTTTAGGGTTGGGCACCTAAACACGCCTAAACCCCACAACTTCTTGTGGGGGCCTGTTGGACGACTGTGGAGCTGAGGGCTTCACCATTCGTGTTCTACTTAGGCTCCTGGAACACTCCCTTCCAGGCACCGCTTTCTACTGCGGGATCCACTTGCGCAAGGGGTCCTGCAAATAGTGGGGCTCTTGGACCTGGAGGACGTGTAACGAAAGAACACCATTCGGCTCAACAAAGAACGCTACATGCCTTGGGAAGCGGATAAATGAATTCTGCTGTGTCCCCATTTCGCGCTGGACTGAGGTAGTGATTCGTGCCATTCTGTGCAGGCAGCGTAGTCGCACTAGCACTATTTCGCACGACAAGGTACTTTACAAATCGGTAGCCTGCAGCAGCTACATGCACGTACCCATGTTCCACAAAACTCTGGGAGGCTTTCGCTAAGGCTGTTACTATGTGGCCCATGATGTTACAGCCGGGCCTTTGAGACCCGCAGGTTGGGGTCTAGAGAGGATCAAGCACGGCCGTGCCACCAGTTCAGTGACCTAAACCCTGAACTAAACCCGAAACCAGAAACCCTAAACCCCAAAAACTAAGCCCTGAACCTCTGAATTGTGTTTGGAGCCCGCAGTTTCGATGGCTCTACCAAGCATCAAGGCCGTGTCTGGGCAACGAGCACTGATCATGGAGGTTAAGCAGATTGGCCGTTCCAACCCCCCCCCCGGCATGTATTGTTTTTAACAAGTTCCTCTTAAAACCCACGGAAATACCGCATGAGACCCGAACTAAACCCTGAACCCGAAACCCGAATATGGATCATGGGTCCAAATAGGAGGGTTCGGGCCCACTCGAAGATCCCGGAGTCAGAAGGGTTAGGGTCTAAACGGTCTGTTTAGGGGGTAGGGCTTGGTGTCTATAGGGTTTTTGACCGCAGTGTTTAGGGGGTAGGGCTTGGTGTCTATAGGGATTTTGACCGCAACGCAGAAAGCATTGAAAGTTCCGTGGCCTTTTTGGGGGCCCTCCCTTTTTTGGGGGTGTTGGTAGTCTAGCGTGGTCTTCCGACCGGCGTTCGCGCTGCTTGTTTTTGCCTGCTTCGCAAACGGAGCATCGTTACATAACTGTGCCATCGGCTCGACGTCGAATCTTCCATGGCCCTCTTTTTCTGGCCTATCCCTGGCTTCCTGACTTTGGGACCTTCGAGGCCATAAAGTGCCTCTAAACCCTACATCCTAAAGCCTAAACCTTGAGCCGTAGTTACAAGCGCTAAAAACCACGAGCCGAAAGCTCTACTATATCATCAACCCTCAACTCCCTGAACCCCTAAACCCTAAACCCCAAACCGCAAACCCTACGCCGTAAAAGCGCATCGGTGGAAGGTACAGCAGCGAGCGTCGCGGCACGTAGCCAAGCAGCGAGGCTACAGAGCTCTCTCGATGGGTATTGGCTTAGGGTTTAGGGTTTAGGGTTTAGGGTTTAGGGTTTAGTACGTCAGGGATTCTTCGGCATTGGGTCAGTAGGGGTAAAGGTGTAAGGCAAAGATTTACAGCCTGGCTTGGGTCATTCTTTGTTTTTCTGCTCCTGGCGCTTGTGGGGCGTGCGAACCCTGATGTTACTTTCTTACTTACTTACCTACCGACCTATCTACCTCTTACCTACTAACTTTTACTACTGCTGCTACAACTGCTACTGCTACTGCTACTGCTACTGCTGCTGCTGCTGCTGCTACTGCTACTGCTACTGCACACTGCACACTGCACACTGCACACTGCACACTGCTACTGCTACTACTGCTACTCCTGCTACTCCTGCTACTCCTGCTACTACTGCTACTACTGCTACTACTGCTACGACTGCTACTACTGCTACTACTGCTAAGCAAGAACCCTTGACCATGAGAACCATGAGGCCTGACAACTTTAATTTGCGTGCAGAACTTACCAACAAACCTTAAAGCCCTTGCAACCCTAAGAAGACTAAACTGTGAAGCGGTTTGTCCCGACATAACACTGAAACCAACCCTAAACCCTAACCCTGAAACTCAGAAGCCTGAACCCTTGCAACCCGAAACCCCCTAAACCCTGAAGCCCATAACCCTTATAGCCGTAAGAACCCCAAAACCTGAAAACTGTAAATCCGAAAAGAGCATGGCCCCTAACACACAAAGCCGTAAACGCCACCTGGGGCTGAAGCTTTAAAAGTCGAGGGATTAAAGGGAGAGAACGTTGCCATTGCTTGAAATCTCGGCTCATGGATGGCACGGTGGGGTAAGCTGGTCTTTGGGATTGAGGGGGGTTTCGGGATGATGGCTGGGTGGAGGCTCTTGACGGTTGAAAAGAACCTTGAATCAAACCCAAAAACCTATAAGCCCCATGCCCCGAAGTCCATGAAACCTGAACCACTCCCCCCCCCCCCCCCCCCCCCCGGAAAAAAAAAGAACAAGCCACAAAACCCTAAAGCCAATAAAGCCATGGATAAACTAGAAAGTCCTTAAAACTCCGATGTACCCTATGAACCCCATCCAGCTGACAAACCCTATGAAGACTACAAATCCAAAAAACCTCTCAAACCCTTGTAAGCCCCATGAACCCTACACGCGACACAGCTCAGAAGCTTTGTAGGGTGACCTAAACTAAACCCTAAACAAGGACTCCTCAGCCATGCACGCTTCAAGAGCTGCTCGCGCAAGGCTGCAGGGGGTATAGAGGTTCAGTGTTTAGGGTCTAAATTACTAAACCCTAAACCCTAAACCCTAAACCCTAAAGGCCCTAAGACCTTGGAACAAGCAGGCTTACAGCCCGGTAGGGTTTTGTAGGGTTTACGTAGGAGGCTCCGCTGGCGCTGCTTGGCAGTGGGGTTTCTTCGACACATGTACGTCTGTCCTATGGCAGCCGCACGGGCGAAGAGTTGTTTCGAGCCAAAGGTTTCAGCGAGTTAAGCCTTGACATGTGAAAGCGCATGGGCAACAGATGCACCCGGCGATTCTGGCGTAGTTACACTAGGTTTGTAAGTGGGCTCAAGTACCGCTGAACTCTTAAGTAGGAGGTCGGGTATTGCTGCACTACGATTATGACTATTATTGCTATTATTGCTATTATTGCTATTCTTGCTATTGTTACAATAATTACTACTACTGCTATCATTCCTATTCTGACGGTCACTTCAAATATTACTATTACTACTACTATTCATCAGACAAATGCGCCGGGCAATGGGCAACATAAGGGTGCGGCGGCCATTGAACATCCCACATGGAAAAGCAAGAGCTCCAGAAGGGCCAGTGGCAGGTATACGTAGCACACATCACCACCGAAAAAAATGCGAACACTATGAAATTCGGCTGCAAATTCATGAGCTTATAAATTAAACCCTAAACCCTAAACCCTAAACCCTAAACCGCTATCTTGCTGCGGGCCTCTGGAGGACTGCTGGTGACACTTAGGGTTCGTAAATCGATGCATCGGCTTTCAAAAGCCTCAGGGGTTCGCACGCCTGTTTAGGGTTTAGGGTTTAGGGTTTACTGCGCCAAGATTCTGCGCGACCCTAAACCCTAAACCCTAGACCCTAAAACCCTAGACCCTAAACCCTAAACCCTAGACCCTAGACCCTAGACCCTAAAACCCTGAACCACATGTTCACAACGCATCAGGCATGAGCCATCTTGAGAACGACTTCTTCGTGCCTACCATAAAGAACTCTTCGAAGGCCTTAAACCTTACAGCAACCCTACCTCTTCCATCTCTTGGAAACTGTAGAAGGAAA